GCAGCCCCGCCTCCCAGCCACCCCGCAGGCTGGGTCGGAGGAGCACGGTTCGAAGCCAGCCCGGGGCAGGGAGGACCGACCCGCGAGGCTTTACCAGGAAGGACAACGCCCCGAGTGGAGATGGGGCCCCGCTCCGGGGTGGAGCGCGAGGCCGGGACGCGGGCTGCGGGCCGGCAGCTCCACACCGGGCTCCTACTCCAACACCTGAGCCCGGTGCGCAGAGGCCGCCGGAGTCAGCAGGAACTGCTGGATGGAAAAAAAAATGGCCTCAGATGGCAGAAATCCCCACCGTGTGTGTCCTAACAAAGCCCAGGGCCGATCCCCGGGGACGGGCCGCAGCCTCAGCCCCGCCGGGACCAGAGACCGAACCTGACTGGCACCAGGGCTCCCCGGGGGGGGGGGGGGGGGGGGGGGGGGGGGGGGGGGGGGGGGGGGGGGCGGCCCGGGGCGGCCCGGAGCCGGCTGGAGAGGGTCTCCAGGTCCCCTGCCTTCCCCTGAGGGTCTCCTCTGCCCTGGGAGGTGTCCAGGAGCCAGGCAAGTGGACCCCTGCTCTTTTTGTTTTGGTGCTGGTCCTGAGGCTTGAACTCAGGGCCTCCCTATGCCGCAGCGTGCATGCGCGTGTGTGTGTGGTGACAAAGGTGAGCACTATACCAACTTGAGCCACAGCTCCATTTCTGACTTTTTTGATGCTTAAAGTCTCACGGACTTTCCTTCCCTGACTGGCCTTCAATGGCCATCTTCAGACCTCAGCCTCCTGAATAACTTACAGGTCCTGAATAGGTTACAGACAGGTGTGAGCCCCTGGCTTCAGGCTTGAACTCAGGGCCTGGGCGCTGTCCCTGGGCTCCTTTTGCTCAACGCTAGTGCTCTACCATTTGAGCCACAGCACCACTTCCAGCTTTTTTCTGTCTGTGGTTCTGAAGAATCAACCCCAGGGCTCCACACATGCTAGGCAAGCACACAACACTGAGCCACCTTCCCAACCCCCCCATCACATTTTTACCCAAGTATTTCTTGGAACCTTCTAAGTGCCAGGGAAGATTCCAGGCATTTATTTTCCACAAATAGATAAAATTAAAATACTCTTAAAGTTGCTGGTCCAGGCAAGGACTTGCTCAGAAGAGGGCATTTTCTTTTCTTCTCTCTTCCTCCCTCCTTTCTTTCATTCCTGCATCATCATCATCATCATCCTCACCCTCATCTCTCTCTCTCTTCCCCTGCTGTAATTAGTAATTTTTTAAGTTTTAGGGTTTCAACCCAGGGCCTCACACTTGGAAGGAGGTACAATACCACTTAAGCCAGATTCCCAGCCCCCTTTGCGTTATTTTTTCCAGTAGGATCTTGTGTCTTACCTAGAACCAGCTTTGGCCACAAGCCTCCTATTTACGCTTCCCGTGCAGCTGGGATGACGGGCCTGGGCAGCTATTGGTTGGGATGGGGTGCTGCTTCCCTGATGCCAGAGCTAGTCTTTGAGTCATGAGATTCCCGATTCCCAATCTCTACCTCACAATGTTTTAGTTCTAATTATGGTTGTGTTTTTTTTGTTTTTTTTTTTGGTCCACCCTGGGGCTTGAACTCTGGGCCTGGCGCTGTCCCTCAGCTCTTCAGCTCAAGGCGAGCGCACTTGAGCCACAGCGCCACTGCTGGCTTTTTTTTTCTTTTTGCTTATGTGGTGCTGAGGAATCGAACCCAGGACCTCAGGCGTGCGAGGCAAGCGCTCTACCACTGAGCCACCTTCCCAGCCCCCCTGGGTTTCTTCTGCACACGTCTAATGCTCTACCACTTGAAGCACAGATCCACTTGGGGCTTTTTTTGTTTTCTTTTTTTGGTGATGGGGGTGGTGAACTGGAGATGAGGGCTGGTTTCAAACCTTGATCCTCAGATCTCAGGCTCCTGAGTAGCTAGGATTACAGGTGTGAGCCACAGGTGTGTGTGTGTGTGTGTTTTAAGGCCCTCCCATTTAAACTTGAAATACCTTCACTGATACAGTCTCATGGAATGGATGCAAGGTTCAAATACTTAAGATGCAGAGCTACTTTAATTTTACATTTAATTGTAGTTCATTTCTAATTAATGTGCACTTACATGGGAAGCAGCCTCATGGAGCTTGTGCTATGTAGCGGATGAGTTATTAGGGAAGGGGGGGGAACTAACTAACAGGAAGGGCAGTTACAGTTCGTGTGGACACGGGGAAGGAAGTGAGGCAGGCACCCAGCGCCGTAGAGAACCGCACCTGCTTCCAACTGTCCGAGTGCTTACTGCTACCCGCACACAACCTGCACACCTGAGTGTGAGCACAATGATTAATATGTGAGTCAGGGCCCTTGGCTCACGCCTGTCATCCCAGCCACTCAGGAGGCTGAGATCTGAGGATGCCCATGCAAAGCCAGCCCAGGCAGGAAAGTCTAGAAGATTCTTATATCTCCAATGAAGCACCCAAAAAGCTGGAAGTGGAGCTGTGGCTTAAGGATAGAACATTAGCCTCGAGCAAAAACATAATAATAATAAGAAGAAAACAAACCCTCAGAAACAGTGCCCCAGGCCCTGAGTTCAAGCCCCAGGATGGGCCCCAAATAAAAAGGTTGCCTATTTCAGCGCACTCACAAATGCATTCACACGCAATCTGGGAGTGGGTGAGCAGCTCACTGGGTAGGTGCGCTGGTGTGGCACTGCAGGCACGCACCGGGGGCGGGCCTTGCTGAGTACCCGGAGTGTGGAGTGGATGTGAAGGTCCCCTAGCCCAGCAGGTCTTGCAGGAAGGCCCACATGTACTCATGCATCTGCTGGTAGTGCGTCTGTGGGATCCAGTGGCCTGAGCCTGGCAGGATGTGGGACTCCAGCCGGCCTGGCACAAAGTGGCTGCTGATGGCTTTCACCAGTCCTGTCTGGAAGTAAGGGTCTTTCTCCCCCCATAGTAGCAGCGTGGGTGTGGACAGTTCCTGGGGTTCTACAGGGTAGTCTCTATGGCCGAGAGAGAGAGAGAGAGAGAGAGAGAGAGAGAGATAAGACAGATGGACAGATGCCCCCCCCCCAATGCCTAGCCCCGGAACTCTCTGGAACCTCTCCCGGAAGGCGTGGCCTCACCTGAAGAGGTTCCGATAGTAGTTGATGGGGCCGGTGAGGGCGCCGGGCTGCGTCAGGTCGTACAGCATGGCCTCCAGCTCATCGCGGGTCAGGCAGGGAATGCCCGTCTTGCGGTCGGTGAAAATGGACTTCAGGATCTGGACACACAGCAAGGCCCCTGGCTTCAGTGTCCAGCCCAGCCGGCCCCCGCCCCTTCCCTCCACCCGTCCGGCCCTCACCCCGCGGGACCTGGAAGTCAGACATGGACAGCAGTTTCTCTGGCAGCCAGGGAAGCTGGAACAAGAACAGGTACTTGGATCGGAACAACTGGCCGACGTGGCGCAGGACATAGTCTTGAGAATGGGATGACAGGAAGTGGATGTGAGGCCTGGGCTTGGGGGGGGGGCTGTACCCCCACATCACACACACACCACCTCCTGCGCCAGAGCCAGCATCCCTCCATGTCGGGGGGGTCATCCTATCCACAAAATGGGATGTGGGGTTCCTGGGGGATCCCCATAGCCACTGGCTTGGCTTCTGCACACCGGAGATGGGATGTATTCATTCTTCCCTGCTTCAGGCAACGTACGTTAGTAACTACTATGTGCCAGGCTCCGCTCTAGACTCCACGCATGTAGGGAATGGGATGCCAAACTCCTCAGGGAGCTGGCATTTATACAGGAGGGAGACAGACAGGAAACTGAGAGAGAGGGAGAGAGGGGTAGAGGGGGAGAGGGAGAATGAGAATGAATACATGATTATAGTGCTGGTGGTTAAAATCAGGTATCACACCAGGTACCAGTGGCTCACTCCTGTCATCCTAGCTACTTAGAAGGCTGAGATCTGAGGATCACGGTTCAAAGCCAGCCTGGGCAGGAAAAGCTTGAAATTCTTTTTTTTTGGTCCAGTCGTGGGGCCTGAACTCTGGGTCTGGGCGCTGTCCCTCAGCTCTTCAGCTCAAGGCTAGCGCTCTACCACTTGAGCCACAGCGTCACTTCTGGCTTTGTTTGTTTTGCTTATGTGGTGCTGAGGAATCGAACCCAGGGCCTCATGCATGCAAGGCAAGTGCTCTACCACTGAGCCACCTTCCCAGCCCTGAAATTCTTATCTCCAATAAACCACTAGAAAACTGGAAGTGGAGCTGTGGCTCAAGTGGTAGAGCACTGGCGTTGTGCTTTAGAGCTCAGGGACAGCACCGAGGCCCAGAGTTCAAGCCCCACCCCCAACCAAAAACAAGAACAAATCAGGTATCTATGAGGGCGGAATGGGTATTAAGTAGGACACTTGAGAATCTAGGTTCGTACTTAGCACCCCAACAAATTAACCTAACAAATTGAGTTTCGTAACAGATACTGAACAGCCAGAGAAGGCATCTGATCCGGCTGCCGCTTGTGATTTGCTTGTTTACGCCTTGCTACCCAAAGCAGACTAATTTACTTTCCTCACCTCAGTTTCCCCTCTCCCCGGGTGGGAACATGGGGTGCATCCCAGCCTCCCAGACACACCTTGAAACACAAACTTGGGGGGGCCACTGATGATCACCATCCGGTCAACCAGGGAGGGGAAGTAGACAGAGAAGTTCCAGGCGAGGGTGGCGCCGAAGTCGTGGGCCACGAGGACACATTTGGAGTAGCCTGGGAGAGACAGAAGGTGCCGGGCTCATGCCGGGGCTGGGAAGGGCGCTAGCAAGCGGGGCAGCAGGAAGAGACAGGCGCGGGCAGGATGGAAATGGCGGGTACCCAAGCCCAGGATGACATCTTGGATGTCAGCCATGAGCAGCTCTGTAGTGTAACAGTCCACATCCCTGGGCGCGTCCGAGGGGCCGTAGCCACGCAGGTTCACCGCCACGGTGTGGAAATGGCTCTGGAACTCCCTGAGCTGGTAGCGCCAGAAGAACCTGCCCAGTGGGAGGGAGAAGGCTGAGTCAGTGTCCCACCACCACCATCAGATTAGCAGCAGAACCCTTGGGCGGCTGGGCATTCTGGAAGGGGTGGATGGGGAAGCCCCAGACCTCAGATCCCATCTCTGCTCCAACCCCTGCAGGCATCCCGGACTCCCAGTCAGCCCGTCCAGGCCCAGTCCTGCCCATGTGGGGCCCGGCAAGCCCCAGGAAGCCATACAAACACACCAGTTCTTCGGGAAGCCGTGAAGAAACAGCATAAGGGGTCCATTGCCACGGCCCGTGGAGACGTAGTGCAGACGTAGGCCCGAGCTCTGCGGGACGAGCACCCGCCTGAGCCAGGCCCGGGCTCTGCAGGACGAGCACCCGCCTGAGCCAGGCCCGAGCTCTGCGGGACGAGCACCCGCCTGAGCCAGGCCCGAGCTCTGCGGGACGAGCACCCGCCTGAGCCAGGCCCGAGCTCTGCGGGACGAGCACCCGCCTGAGCCAGGCCTGCAGCTGCCTCCCCAGCCCGGCTCTGTGCACTTACTTTCGAAGCCTGAATCAGGGTCTGCTTGTGCTGTCCCTTAGCTGCTCTTCTTCCTCCTCCTCCCCCTCCTTTCTTCTTCTTCCTCCTCCTCCCTCCTCTTTCCCCTTCCTCCTCCTCCTCTTCTTCTTCCCCCCTCCTCTTCCTCCTCTTCTTCTTCCTTCCTCTTCCGCCTCCTTCCTTCTTCTTCCTTCCTCTTCCTCCTCCTTCCTCTTCCTTCTCTTTCCTCTTTCTTCTTCTTCCGTCCTCCTTTTTCTGGCTGGTGCTCTACCACTTGAGCCACAGCTCCACTTCTGGCTTTTTTCTTTTTGGCAGTTGGAGATTTCCTGCTCCGGGGCTGGCTTTGAACCGGGATCCTCACATCTCAGCCTCCTTCCTGGGTTGCTAAGATGACGGATGTGAGCCTCTGGCACCTGGCAGGCGTGTGTGTGTGTGTGTGTTTGTGCGTGTGTGTGCGCGTGCGCCTGTCCCTGTCCTGGGACTCGCACTCAGGCTCCGGGTGCTGTCTCTTGAGCTCTTTTGCCAAAGGCTGGCGCTCTGCCACTGGAGCCACACAGCTCCACACGTCGGGCTTGTCGGTGGATGCGGTCATTGGAGGCTTTTCCGCTCAGGCTGGCTTCGAACTGCGATCTTCAGGTCTCAGCCTTCGGGAGTAGCTGGGATGAGCCGCGGGCGGTGAGCCCGGCTTCTCACTGCGCTTGGAGCCCCAGTCTTGGGCCTCCCGGGTGGGCGGGGGGACAAGATCCCACTGCGTC